GCAGAGAACGCGAGGGATTTACAGGGATGCACCCAGAACCAAAAGTGAGAGAAGTCCTACATTCCACCCTTGAAATAAGACATTGAAATATAACATGACAACCTTCATATGCTTTCCTTACAAAAACAAAACAGAAGGATCCAAACAAATAAACCCCGTAAGCACCCAGAAACGTTCCTGCGCCTTTAAAACTTAGCACAGAGCAGGGACAGCAATTCCCATCTGCTGCAGGTGGAGTTCTACTGACTGCGCTACTGGGGGAGGAAGATCTAACATCTCCCGCCACTTTGTACCTTGTCTCTATCTCTAACCTTGGGTCTGGTCCTGGGGGAAGGGAAGGAAACCTCTCCCCTCCTGATGGGCTGAGAACAGGTTTCCCAAAAGCAAGCTGGGAGCTCAAACGTGTGAATGCGAGGGAGGTGCAAGGAGGACGCAGCCTGGGGCTGCAGCTGCATTCCTGCAGGAGCGGCTATTGTCCACTCCCTGGCGCTGCCATTCCTTGACCAGTTTGAAGTGTAATAAAGCAGTCACAGAGCTCTAACACCAAACTGTCAAAGCTGCAGGGATTAAAGCACATTACCCGTCGCGCAGCCTTTATTCTCAGAAGAATGTACATCACTTTAAACAGACCGGGATAGATGACAACGCTTCCCTGCTCCCTCTTGTATCGCTTTTACAGCCAGATTCTGCTTTATCTTTGTTCATCTAGACTGGAAAATATGCATAATGCCCTCATCCTACCAAACCAAATGCTTTTTTTACCTCCCAAACGTATGCACACTGTTCACACGACTTGCCACACCGAGCTTGCAAAACCTCTGGCTCCTGTGGACTTGGTCTAGTTGTCTTTGTGGGACCAATGTCACGTTCAGGAGAGGCATGGCAGATCTCCCAGCCCACTTCAATATCCCTTTCAGTCTGTTTTTTACCGTGGAGTACCGACAGGCCTAATTTTTTTCCAATCTCTCTTCCTCTCCTTCAGAGTATTTATTACTTCACCTGTATGGAAGCACAACAAAGTAAAAATAGAAATAAAAGAGAATATGGAAGAGCCACAGTTTGATGTTTTGATTTGTAATTTTAATGTATCTACTGTATCATTATCTTTTAAATCTGTCTCATTTAAATTAAAACTTCTTGCTATCAAGTATAACTTTGTGTCTTCAGCATTTAATGTATCAAAATGCATGTCAGGGTCCTTGGTAACACACCCCATGTCATCTTGAATCTCAAATTTATCCCGGCTTGAAAAGATGTTCTTTTGTTGTAATAGCCCACTGACATTTTGCATGAAAATTTTTTACAAAGTACAATGTGGTAAAATATTGAGTTTGATCTTAACTTGTTCTTTCAAACTAAAGGGAAAAAAAATCTGGCTGCTTTTTATTAGAAACCAATCAAGGCCTTTGTCTTTTTACTTAATAAAAAAATTAGCCCAAACAATTCATTGCAGTCCTTAAAAGTTTTAATTAATTTCTATGGTCACTTTATGATACTCAATAATTAAGCAGGATTATGATAATTAAAACTGATTCTGATTTATGAGGATTGTCTGAAAATTATTTCAGTATTATTAGGCTTGGGATGGAAGCCTCAATAGTGAGTTTTTTTCCTTTAAAAAAAAATAAATGGAGGAATATGAAACCTATGGGGAAAAAAAAAACAAACCAAAACAAACAAAAAAACCCACACAAAACCACAACAGTCAGTGTCCAAATATTTGTAAGTTACACTGAAATGGAAGCATTCTATTCATGAAGGCCAGATTTCCACAGTATTTGATTTATTGGGTGATAACTGATGTTTCAGCTGGCTCCATAATTGTTTAAGTGGCATATAATACATATTAGTGTATCTATACCTGTTAGACATTTTTTCCTCCCCAAGTCTGCCTCTGATGTCTGTAAGTCATAAAGAATACCATGCACTATTGTAACAGAGAAAGCATTAAACTACCCGTTTGTCTGGGATTTCTAGGCATTAACTAGCCATTAACAGATTCATTTTACAGACAGACTATTTGTAAAAATATCAAAATCTTTCTATCCACTTATAAAGCACCACACAAAAAACAAAACAAAACAACACAAAAAAACCCCCAACAACAAAAAGCAGGAGCCCTGGCAAGTTCCAAACACTTTTCAACAGTATATATATTCCTCTGAAGGTCTCTTCCTTTCCCCAAACAAGAAAATATGTTGAGATACCGTATCCTTAATAGTTAAAGATATGGTTAAGAGAGCCGAATCTTTATCCATATTCAAAGCTTAGCCATGAAATTGTGTTACTTCCTTGTCTTTGAAACCAATTTACGACAAAAATACTGAAGCTGCTCACTCGGTTTCTGTCCTAATCTGAAGAAAACCCCCCAAAGAGTAAGCCTGCATTACGGGGGAGACTTTTTATCTACGTGTTTTATTTTAATTTAGAAGGAAAAACAAAAGTTTGCCGTTCCCGGGGTCTTTCTGGCTTCACAACGCGGGGTTTAAAACAGCTTTTCTCTCCCATCTGTGGACCAAACAGCAAGAAACTTGCCCGAATGAAAGTCCACCGTCTTCTCTTCACTCTCCGAAGAAACTGGGGTGATTTTGCGGCACTCGTTTTACGAAAAATATGAATTTATAACTCCGAAGAAACACAGACTCGGAGGAGGAAAAGCTCTTCCTGGCTAACAGTTAGGCGGGCTCTGCAAAGCACCAATCACAGATCACCGCTTCGCTATAAATTCAGGCATCGGGGTTACTGTAGCCCAATTACTTTCTTTTGATTAGGAAGAAGTCTCTGCAGCGATGTCGGAGACCGCTCCCGCCGCCGCTCCCGCTGTCGCGGCCCCCGCCGCCAAGGCCGCCGCCAAGAAGCCGAAGAAGGCGGCGAGCGGCTCCAAAGCCCGCAAGCCCGCGGGGCCCAGCGTCACCGAGCTGATCACCAAGGCCGTGTCCGCCTCCAAGGAGCGCAAGGGGCTCTCGCTCGCCGCGCTCAAGAAGGCGCTGGCCGCCGGCGGCTACGATGTGGAGAAGAACAACAGCCGCATCAAGCTGGGGCTCAAGAGCCTCGTCAGCAAGGGCACCCTGGTGCAGACCAAGGGCACCGGCGCCTCCGGCTCTTTCCGCCTCAGCAAGAAACCCGGGGAAGTGAAGGAAAAAGCCCCCAAGAAGAAAACAGCTGCAGCCAAGCCCAAGAAGCCGGCGGCGAAGAAACCCGCCAGCGCCGCCAAGAAGCCCAAGAAAGCGGCGGCGGTGAAGAAGAGCCCCAAGAAAGCCAAGAAGCCGGCTGCTGCAGCGGCCAAGAAAGCAGCGAAGAGCCCCAAGAAGGCGACAAAGGCTGCCAAGCCCAAAAAAGCGGCGGCAGCAGCGAAGAGCCCGGCTAAGGCGAAAGCGGTGAAGCCCAAAGCAGCCAAGCCCAAGGCGGCCAAGCCCAAAGCAGCCAAGGCAAAGAAGGCAGCGCCGAAGAAATGAAGTGTTGAAGTGGAAATACTTTTAAACCCAACGGCTCTTTTAAGAGCCACCCACTATTGTCCCCAAAAGGGCTGATACACTCCGTCACTGAGCTCCGTGCCTGCAGCAGAGCCAAGTATTTGCCACTATCCGTGTGGGACGTAAGTCTGTGGAGTGGATGGGACGCTAAACTTCCGGCCCTGGTTTTTACACTAAGACTTGGGAAAATAAAAGTTTACATTCCCGGCGAAAACACTTTCTAAAGGCTGCTTTTTCTTTTTTTTTTTTTTTCCCCTTTTTTTTTTTCTTTTCTTTTTTGGAGCACCGCAAGCGGGTGTATATGTTAAAGGGACTGCTTAAGGGCGGGTACCTTTCTGGGGCGTGGAGGTTCCTCTCGTTGCTCTAAATCAGCGCGATTCCTAACAGCACGGATGCGACCGCCACACCTCTTGGTGACCGTAGCAGGGAACTGCCAGCACGGCTCCTCCGCTTCCCTGGCAGTGACCTTCCCTCTCGTAGCGCTGGCGTGGGGCAGGTCTCCATTTCTGCGTGATTTCACCGACCTACTTTTTCGAGGAGGCGCTTTCCGGGGAGGGAGGCGGGTAGGAGTCCCCAGCGCGGCTCTCCCGCGCCCTGCCGGGCTGGCGGCGGGAGCTCGGGCGGGCGGCAGCGCGGGGGCGGAGCAGCAGAGGGGGAGCGGCAAAGGCGGAGCAGCACAGCAGGAGCAGCGGAGGCGGAGCGGCCGGGGGCGGAGCAGCACAGCAGGAGCAGCGGAGGCGGAGCGGCCGGGGGCGGAGCGGCAGAGGAGGAGCAGCGGAGCCGGAGCGGCACAGCAGGAGCAGCGGAGGCGGAGCGGCCGGGGGCGGAGCAGCACAGCAGGAGCAGCGGAGGCGGAGCGGCGCGCAGCTCAGCGCGGCGCCGGGGGCTGCCCGGAGCCGCCGGGGATTGGCGGTGGGAGAAGCCGCAGCAGCTCATTGGGCCGCTGGGAAATTTGGAAAAGCCCGCGCTGCAGGGGAAGGGGGAGGGGATGGAAAAAGGGAGAAAGGGAGGGGGGAGCGGAGCGCTGCCGCGGTGGCTCCCAGCCCACCCGCGCTCCGTGGGATCTCAGCCCCCTAAAGCGCCTACCACTTCCCCCAGACCTGTAGCCCTTGTTTTCTCATATACAAGGCAATATGTTTGGGCTTAAGACAATTCCGAAACATCAATACAGAAGGTAAAGAGGGTCGGCTATTTCCCCCGCTGCCTTTTTATAAAAATTATTAAATGTTTTTTATCTTCGTGAAGCATGTTTGCTGTTTTAACTGTGAAACTTCTAATTTGGATAGAACAGATGATAAAGTATTTTCTCTTATTTTTACTGTAAAAAAATACATCTATTGAAAAACTATTTAGACGTTTACATTTGAAAAGAGTGAGTACATTTGAATTACCTCTAACTTGGAAAAAATATTCAAGGATTTTGTAACTACTACTGCGAGATTAAGTAGCCGACTAAACGTTTGTTTAAAATCTATCTACGATTTTTTTTCAGTTAATTTCCATACCCAAGAAGACCGAGGCAATACTGTGTTAAAGCTCTTTTACGGAGTATGTGGGTGGCTCTTAAAAGAGCCTTTGGGTTAAAAACGACGGTCCGAGACGCCCTACTTGGAGCTGGTGTACTTGGTGACAGCCTTGGTGCCCTCGGACACGGCGTGCTTGGCCAGCTCGCCGGGCAGCAGCAGGCGCACGGCCGTCTGGATCTCCCGCGACGTGATGGTGGAGCGCTTGTTGTAGTGCGCCAGGCGCGACGCCTCGCCCGCGATGCGCTCGAAGATGTCGTTGACGAACGAGTTCATGATGCCCATGGCCTTGGACGAGATGCCCGTGTCGGGGTGCACCTGCTTCAGCACCTTGTACACGTAGATCGAGTAGCTCTCCTTGCGGCTCTTCTTGCGCTTCTTGTCGCCCTTCTTCTGCGTCTTGGTCACCGCCTTCTTCGAGCCCTTCTTGGGCGCGGGCGCGGACTTGGCCGGCTCGGGCATGGCTGCAACGCTCTGGCACCCGGAGGAAGCTGAGCACACTGAATGGCCGCAGAGCCCGCTATTTGTACAGACGCGTATGCAAATTTCACGGATCAGCACCGCGCAATACGATTGGTCCTTCCCGTGCCTGGCGCGTCTTTGTCGCCGATTGGTCCGGACACGATCCGGCCGCTCATTGGTTGTTCCAGCAGCGCCTGGCTCCAGCCAATCGCCGCCGGCTCGTCCCGCCCAGGGAAGGGATAAAAGGGGAGCGGCGCTTGCGTCAGGGTGATTGTCTGTGTGCCGCTCCGTGCCCTTTCTCTGCTCCTTCCAGCGCTTCCAGCATGTCCGGCCGCGGGAAACAAGGAGGAAAGGTCCGAGCCAAGGCCAAGTCGCGCTCGTCGCGGGCCGGGCTGCAGTTCCCCGTGGGCCGTGTCCATCGGCTCCTCCGGAAAGGTAACTACGCGGAGCGGGTGGGCGCCGGAGCTCCCGTCTACATGGCGGCCGTGCTGGAGTACCTGACGGCCGAGATCCTGGAGCTGGCGGGCAACGCGGCCCGCGACAACAAGAAGACGCGCATCATCCCCCGCCACCTGCAGCTCGCCATCCGCAACGACGAGGAGCTCAACAAGCTGCTGGGCAAGGTGACCATCGCCCAGGGCGGCGTGCTGCCCAACATCCAGGCCGTGCTGCTGCCCAAGAAGACGGAGAGCCATAAAGCTAAAAGCAAATAAATGGCGAGCAAAGCCACTCGGACTTTGCACGATCTAACATTCTAAACAAAAGGCTCTTTTCAGAGCCACCCACGGAGTCAGAAAAAGAGTTGTGTTGCTTTCTTTAAAGAGGTGCTCTGGTGCTGAGTCTTCAATTGTACTAAATTCAGCTCATATGAACTTTTGTTGCAGTGTTTTAAGACTTTGTTTCTACTGAAGGGAGCTGATACATTTGCTTTCCAACCCGTGTTTCTAAATGAATGTTAATATTTTTGTAATGATATATTGTTTCATTTTTTCATTGTAACACTCAGTAAAGAGCTGGTTCTTCAGGCCTCGGCTCACCTTTCGTGGTCCCACAGCTTGCTAATGGGGGTAGAATACAGCACGGTGGGTGAAGCGCGGGTGGGGGTGGCAATAGCTATGCAGCATGAAGATAAATAGGAGACCATCCTAAACCCCAGATACAGCTACATCTAACCATGAAAAAGGGGTTTCTTCACCCCCTTTAAAGGCCTTTATTCTTTAACAGATGCTTAGCTCCCTGTGTGTTAAATATATGTAGAAGTGAGGAATGCCTTAGCAAAAATGGCATTTGATCTACATCTCTGCTCTGTCAGACCTGCGCTCTAAAGCAACAGTGTAACACTTCCATTCAGGAGCACCTGGCAGTGGTAGCTTACTCCCATTTTAAGAGGCATTTTCAAATTTTCTACTCATACATTCTCTCACTGTTCATTGCTCCTCTTGTTGCATCAATTAACAGTGAGCAATATTGGCTTTCCTATATTGTTGGCACAAATATCACCCCAGAGCACCACCTTAAGCCTCTTCATATTCATTCATAAATTGCATGAAAAACTCTCTGGCTGATTCCTCTTGCTAGAATATCCCAGAATCCTCATCTGATGGTCTGTAGCACACTGCACTGAGGTGCTAATGTAAGCATATATTTAACACATAGGGTCTCATCTTTGCTGCACCTCTGCTCTTTCCATCCCCTGGAGAGAAGGAGGAGTGTCCTGGGCTCGAGGGAAGGCAATTCTCCCACTGTGCCTCCTCGTCATCCCCAGGCTGCAGCTGAGAGGTTTTTAAGGCAGCGTTGTGCCATGGCCAAAGCAGGGTGCCAGGAGAGAAATATAAAGAAGAGAGCTGCTGGAGCACCAGACAAATCTTTTATAGTGATGGTGTCTGGGTCTAAAAGTTTTGTTTTTAAGTGGACACGTTTAGGGTTGTAGTGGTTTTATTATGCTGTTTTATTGACCACTTGCCACAGCTAAATATCTCCTGGCCCTTACACTTCTCTTCTTTAAAAATTGCAATGGTAATTAAAATTTTATTTTAACATTCATGAGCCTTCTATACTTAGTTTCCAGAACAGATTTCTACATATGTGTCTATCAGAAAATTTCAGTCTCAGAATGGCTTGGGTTGGAAGGGACCATTAAAAATTATCTCATCCAAAAGCCCTGCTTCTTGGCAGGGTCACCCTTGATAGCCCAGGCTATTCAAAACCCCATCCTGCCTGACTCTAGGGATGGGGCATCCACATTTTCCCTGGACAGCCTTGTTCAGGGTCCCACAAGCCTCCTTGCAAAAAATTCCTAACTTATGTGCAATCTAAACGTGGCCTCCTTCAGTTTGAAGTCATTGTCCTTCCTCCTGGCCCTACAGGCCTGAAAAGAACCTTCTGTACTGAAAGGCTGCTATGGGTTTCCTCAGAACCTGCTGTTCCCCTGGCCAGGCAACCACAACTCCCTCAGCCTTTCCTCATGGGAAAGATGATCCTCTGATAATTTTTGTGGCCCTCTCTGGAGCTGCTCTGACAGATTAATGTCTTTTCTCATGCCAGAAGATCACAGAGCTGCATGCAGCATGCCAGGTGGGATCTCAGGAGAGCTGGGTAGAACAGGAGAATCACCTGCCTCGACCTTCAGTTCAGGCTGTGTTTGTTGCCCCCCTTGTCAGGATGGGCTTTCTGGGCCACAAGTGTGTATCTCCAGGTCAAGGCACTGGAATTCCAGAAAAAGGCCGTGGGGTAGAGCTATTAAGCAGGAGCTGGCTTTCTCTGTGGACAAACTCCTGTATGTGGAGGTCAGAGCTGGTAGCACAAGAGAGGGTCCCATCCTATGAGTGTGGAGCTAAGCCCAGCGTATCCCCCCAAATTCTTCCTGCCATCTGACCAGGAATTCATTATTTGCTCCAGAATTTCATTCCAAACTCTTACTACACTCATCTGTATTCTCACCTCAGTACCTGGAGTTTCATCCTCTGTGATTTGTCTTAGCCAGTAGTGGCCTCAGCAGTTGCTGACCCGGTGTTGCCATCACCAGTGATGAGGTCTCCAATGTAAAAAAATCCAGTAAATCAGATGGATTAAATGGCAGGAGAGCTGGAAAATCTCCTGGTGTTAAAGACAGCTTTCAGGCAAATTCCAGTGGATGAAGGAATGCAGCTAAGCAAGTCTAAGTAAATGAATTTTTCTCATTTGCACATACAATAAGCATAGGAACAATAAAATCCATATCACATGGTAGCTTAGCTGTGTCACTGGGTTGCAATGCACCTTCACATTCTGAAGAATTTGTAACAAAAATAAAAACCTGAACCTGCGACCACGGTCCCTCAAGTGCTATAGATCACAGTTATGCTTGGGGAGGACTCAGTAATGCCAGACTGTATATAAAAAGACTTAAAACTGCATGGTTAAATATTCTAAGATCTTTTCTAGCCCTTTTCTTCTACATTGCTTGCAATGCTAGAAAAAATGTACCTATTTAGCAGCTCTAACATTACTTCAGTGTGCATATTATTGTGCCTATTATGACAGTTGCAGCAGATACAGATATGGATTTAAATTGCTACTTAAGCTCTCAAGAAAATGATGAGCAGCTTTGAAGCTCGCTATAATCCACTCATGCAATGACTTTTTTTACTAATTATGTACCCTCTTCTGCAGCCATGGTGAGATGTTGCCTTATTGTAATAAACAAATGCAATTTCCTCATTATAGTTTAATGAGGAACTAGGGCAACTGTCGTAATTAATGCACACTTGAAAAGCTACAGATTTTTAATTTCTTTAACAAGCTGATTTTTGCAAAAGTTTCCTTTCTCATTTAACCCCTAGTGCTGTGTGCCCAAATAATGAGGAAAATACAGTTTCTATAATATGCGAATTGGACACTAAACTTTGATTTAAAAAAAAAATCTCCAATCCACAGTAGAAATAACTTTATTAGGGATTTTATTGAGCAGCAAAATTTTCTTTCTTCTCTTTTAAAATTATTTTTGCCCAAAAAAATGCTCTGATCTATAAACAGACACCCGTGAAACATGTCTGTGTGCACTTGCAGCAACTTGCAGCAACTTGCAGCAAGGCAGCCTTCTAGAAGGTGTGATGTTAAATTCTACCTAACGTACCACACCTATTGAGGAAAGGGCTTTGCAGCTGTTTTATTTACTTTAAGCCGCTGGTCTCCACCTCTCCATCACCCATCTCTGGCAGAAATGGAAGGGGATTTTCCAAGTCTTGCAGTGGTTTTACTGCTGGAAGGAAAAGTTATACTCTGGATAAGGATACTCTGTGTTTAGGAATCCTTAGGAATGAATTATTGTTTTGACATACCAAAAGATTTTGCATAATTTCTTTCGGGTTTCTTAAGTAGTCAGAATGCTGTTCCTAACTGCCTCAGGAAACATAGCTAGACACAGATTTTCAGATATAAAGAACAAAGCAGACTTTGTGGAGCCAAACGGGAATGTTAGGCACCAGCCTGGCAGGCCCACTACTGACAAATCTTCCAGTTAGTTTATAAACAGTCTTACTTCATTCTGTTCAGTCAAAAAAGCAAACCTAATCTAAATTGGAGATATATTTTCCTCCTTATACTGTATATATGAGTGGCAATTCTTTAAGTTCAAAAGAAAAAGGAATTCACAGTGATACTTATAAAAATATTTCTACCTTTTTGTCACCTGTAACTGAAAGCATGACCATCTCAATTGCATCACCCCCTGAATTTAGGGAATATTTTATTCTCAGAAATATTTTGGAGATGTTGCTGAGGTTTTCTACATTATATTAAGGAAAAAACTTAAATAAATAACTGCACAATTTTAAAAGGATATGAAAAATTTTATAGTAGTAGGCACGTTTAATGGACATAAAATAATAATAATATAAGAATTGGCAAGTACCTTAGGCATATCAGCTATATTCTGTGCAAGTAATATTTTAAATCTTAACAGATTTAATATAGAAATACAGTCTCATAACTCTGTCAGCATTTATTCATTCACTTCACAAACAATTCCAACATACTGTAAGCAGCATGTATGATGTTTTCTGAAACACACGGGAAAAAAAATCTGCATTCCTCATCGGAATGAAAATTGTTTCGCTAGTGCTCATTCTTCAGATGTCATACAGAAAGACGTTTGTGCTTTCCGTAATCCTTTCTTTCTCTTGCGGGCTCTCAGGGCACGGCAGGGACGGTTCTTCCCGGGGCCGCCACTGCCGGGAGCGAGCGCGGGGCCCCGGGGCTGTGCCCGGCCGAATGGACGGTCCCTCGCGGGGCTCCAGCCGCCCCTCCGCTCTGCCTTCGCGGGCTCTCTGCTCTGAACGCTTCCCGCTGCAGCCCCCGCCGTCCCTTTCTCCCGCCGGCCGTGCCTCGCCCCCCGCTCCCCTCTCACCGACCCGCAGCCGCTCCGTGCAACGCGAGAGCGCGGAACGCTCCGTGCCCGCAGCCCAGCGCCGCACGGAGCCGGGGCAGCTGCGGCAGACGAACAAACCGCGCAGCCGCCATGGCCGGGGCGAACAAAGAGAGCGCGGCGCGGAAGGACGGCTCGGCCGGGCTGCCGGAGGCGGAGGAGCGCGGGGGAGGCGGCGGCCGGCGCGGCCCCGCATTGGTGGGATTTTGCCGCAGACCCGCGGGGAGGGACGAGGAAGGGGCGCCGCAGCCCCTCACGAGGGCCGGGGGTCGCAGGGCCCTCTCTCGCCGCTGACGGAGACGCAGAGCTGCCGTGGCACTGTCACCAGCGAGAGGGCGAGCCGCGCCAAGGGAAAGCCGCAAAGGGACGCGAGGGCCCGGCATTAACTGAGCTGGTTAGAGACCCGTGCGAAAAAGGGCAGTATGGTGCGTTCAATCTCTGTAGGAGCCAACCACTTCAGAGTCGGGCTGGATGATCCCTGTGGGTCCTTCCCTTCCCACACTATTCCGCGATTCCATGGCCGCTAGAAGCGCGGGACGGGACCAGACCCGCTCAGGAGAGGCGGAGCCGCCGCGCGCGCCCCAGGGACGCGGCCTCCACAGCGCCTCGGCCGCGTCTCGCGGGAAGCAGGCGCGGGGAGGGGGGAAGAGAGGGGAGCCGGGCGGGGGGCAGGGCAGGAGACCCCGCCTCCCTTTGCAGTCCTCAACCAGGTCGGACCGCCGACAATATATAGCGGCCCGGGGTCTCTCCCACTGCATTGCACGAGGTGGTGAGAGAGAGAAACGATGTCTGGTCGGGGTAAAGGTGGCAAAGGGCTCGGCAAGGGCGGCGCCAAGCGGCACCGCAAGGTGCTGCGCGACAACATCCAGGGCATCACCAAGCCGGCCATCCGCCGCCTGGCTCGGCGCGGCGGCGTCAAGCGCATCTCGGGGCTCATCTACGAGGAGACGCGCGGCGTGCTGAAGGTGTTCCTGGAGAACGTCATCCGCGACGCCGTCACCTACACGGAGCACGCCAAGAGGAAGACGGTCACGGCCATGGACGTGGTCTACGCCCTCAAGCGCCAGGGTCGCACCCTCTACGGCTTCGGCGGCTAAACTCACTTTTCTCTTACTCTTCAGCGCTTCTACAACAAAAGGCTCTTTTAAGAGCCACCCACGTATCTCATAAAAAGAGCTTTTAATCGCTGTTAGCTTACAGTTATTTAGGTTTTGGGGTTGGAGGGAAAAGGGAAGGGATTTTTTTTTTTTTCTCGGCTTCCCCCGAGCCCACAGATGCTTAGCCCACTCCTGCATTCCGAGGGGGAAAGTCTCGCATTCAAGTAAGGAGGAATAACCTAATTTTTACTCGAGGAACGAAACGAGGGTAGGTGTAGCGCTTGACTGGGGGCTCTCGGTGCTATGGGGAAATGCGTTCTGCAGGTTACATCCTCTATTTCCCCCATTCTCTTCCACACGGAGCACCAGGCGCTCAGCACAGACCTTCTTTCCAAAGGGCAAGGGAAGGGACACGCAGGCGAGAGAAATCTAAGGCAGGGGGTAGGTCGGGAACAACCGGCGTTACCGTAGACGCTGTCGCGGCACCACTGACCGCGACAGCCTGGAAGGGGCTGGGAGCTCCTGAAATGGCGGCGCTCTTCTCTCTGTCATTCGGTGGGCGGGACGGAGCGGGAAGAAGAAACAGCGGAGAGCACCCCTTAGCGCCCTAGGGACTGCACAGCAGAGACCCTGCGAGCCCCGCGCTCTGAAGCCCTCCAGCGCGACCCCGCCCCCGCCCCGCTTCTGAGGCTGCCTATTCTTTAGGCACCGCTTTCTCCTTCACCCTGCACAGCCCCCTACACCCTTGTCAGCCCCGGCAGCTTTAGGCGGCGAACCTGACAATGACCGACACACTGGGGTGCAAGGGGCGGCCAAGGCTGGAGGCTATGGAAGGCTCACACTTCCCCCGTTATCCCTGAACTTCCACTAAGTTGGGCACTCGAAAGCGCGTGGCATGAGCGTAACAGAGACAACAGCTCTCTTCAGTGGCCTTGTGGTGGCTCTTAAAAGAGCCTTTCAGTTTGATGCAAAGGGCAGGGGACTCAGGCGCGCTCCCCGCGGATGCGGCGGGCCAGCTGGATGTCCTTGGGCATGATGGTGACGCGCTTGGCGTGGATGGCGCACAGGTTGGTGTCCTCGAAGAGCCCCACCAGGTAGGCCTCGCTGGCCTCCTGCAGCGCCATGACGGCCGAGCTCTGGAAGCGCAGGTCGGTCTTGAAGTCCTGCGCGATCTCGCGCACCAGGCGCTGGAAGGGCAGCTTGCGGATCAGCAGCTCCGTGGACTTCTGGTAGCGCCGGATCTCGCGCAGCGCCACCGTGCCGGGCCGGTAGCGGTGCGGCTTCTTGACGCCGCCCGTGGCCGGCGCGCTCTTGCGGGCAGCCTTGGTGGCCAGCTGCTTGCGGGGCGCCTTGCCGCCCGTCGACTTCCGCGCCGTCTGCTTCGTGCGCGCCATCGCAAACCCAACACCAAGCGCTCCGGAACAGCAGCACGGTGCGCCCTCGAGCCCTATTTATGGAGCACGGCGGCCCCGCCTCCCGCCGCTGATTGGTCAGACAGCGGAGGATTCTATTGGGTTACAGCTGAAGCCGCTCCGAGCCCCAATGGTTCCGAACAAATCCTGCTTTTCTTCCTTTGTGTTAGAAAAACATCAATATCTGTCTATTTCTAGTGTTTTTTTTTTTTTTCCCCCGAAGGAGCTTCCTTATGGTACCTGCGACTCTGCATTTTAAGAAATGTAGTTAGTTTATAAAGATTTGCCCGAAGAGAACCACAATCCCCTCAAACCCCACAGCAACAAAAACAAACTTATAAGCAAGCAAACGAAAAAAAAAAAAGACCCCACCCAAAACAAAAATAACAAAACCCGAGCAAACAAACCAATAAAGTAAGAAGCAGAACAACAAAAAAAAAAAGACAAAAAACAAACAAAAAAAACCACCGCGCTAGTTTTAGTTTCAGAATGGATGCAAAGCACAGGTTCCTTTGTTAATACTTCCATAAGAATATAGGATGACAAAATACAAGCCACCAGTTTAAATAAAGAATAAAATACCAGTAAGTAAACCTGATTACAAACAAGTTATCTTATCGGCAATCCTTGGAAATTTGTATTTTATTTTTACCCACTTTAAGCGTCAGAGTAATTTAATTGATTAAGGCAAGTGGTTAAAAAGCAGTAAGGTCACTCCGGAAGAAAGGGAAGACCAAGGGAAAAGGCGGGTCGGGGTTAGGAATTCGGGAGCGGGGCTCAGCCGAAGAGGGGGTTAACGCGGGATTTTCAAACCTTCCCCCCGAGCGCGGCCGCCCCCATCAGCCAATCAGCAGGCAGCGCTCGGCTATAAAAGCCAGCGGCGAGCGCTCCCGCAGCTACTGCCGGGCTGCTCTCGGCACTTCCCTGGGCTCGCAGGCGGCGGAGCCATGGCGCGCACGAAGCAGACGGCGCGGAAGTCGACGGGCGGCAAGGCGCCCCGCAAGCAGCTGGCCACCAAGGCTGCCCGCAAGAGCGCGCCGGCCACGGGCGGCGTCAAGAAGCCGCACCGCTACCGGCCCGGCACGGTGGCGCTGCGCGAGATCCGGCGCTACCAGAAGTCCACGGAGCTGCTGATCCGCAAGCTGCCCTTCCAGCGCCTGGTGCGCGAGATCGCGCAGGACTTCAAGACCGACCTGCGCTTCCAGAGCTCGGCCGTCATGGCGCTGCAGGAGGCCAGCGAGGCCTACCTGGTGGGGCTCTTCGAGGACACCAACCTGTGCGCCATCCACGCCAAGCGCGTCACCATCATGCCCAAGGACATCCAGCTGGCCCGCCGCATCCGCGGGGAGCGCGCCTAAGCTGCTGGCAGGCGGAAGTTTCAGACCACCGAAAACCCAAAGGCTCTTTTAAGAGCCACCACAGCGTCACTAAGGAGCTGTAAATTCCTAATTGTGCATAAGAAGTGATGTTTGGGTGGTTATGGTCGAGAGGATCTTGCACGTCAAGTAAGTACAAAACGAAATGCACAGATCGTATTTCGTAGGAGTCAGATCCTGGGTTTTGCAAAACTGTTGTGCAGTTAATTGTTTAAAATTGGTTTTGCTAAACCAGATTTTCCTTTAGGGTTAGAAACTGCTTTCTGCGTGTCTTTTCGCGCGTTATTTTGGTAGGTAGGAAACTCAAAGGGAAGATCCCCCCTTAAAAGATGGATGGGTTTTATTTGTTATATATCCTGATATTATTTGAAGTGTTTGAATTAGTAAAGGAAGTAATTTCTATAGGATCGTATTCTCATGACTGGAGGAGTTAAATGCACTCCAAATGCCTCCTGTGTATTGTAAATGTTATGTTCCCTCATTTAACTTCACCGTTTTTCACTTTATGGCTTTATTATGCCAGCAGCAATATTGTATCTCGCCCACCCCACCCCTTTTTATTTTTGCTTTTGGGAAAGCCTGTGCGACTCGCTTTGTTTCTGAAAGCGCAAAACCTCCTTTCCCGCCTTCCCTGGAAGGACTTTCCATCAGTGCTTTCCTCAGTGCTCTATCACTCCTGCTTGTGAGCGACGTCCCCCGGGCATGCTCGGCCTATCTTAAGCACTGCTATTTATTCCCGACATAAATGTGTTTCCTAAAGTGAGGGGGTGGGTGGAATATAAGGTGGAGGCAAGGATGTTTTCTGAGTCTTTTTTCCAAGTCGTGTGCTCCTGGCTGATGTCCTGTCTAGGACCACACGCGTGACATCTTTAATGGTAGAGATTTTAGGCTGCATGAATCTTCTCTGTCGTTATCCCAAAAAGATGTGTTGAAGCTACCACAGATGAAGCATTTTCCAAGAAGAATCTGTGCGTGAAAACTTAGCAAGTGTAGAATAATTTCTAAATGGAGGCTCTTCCCTATCTGTCGTGTACAGCGGTTTTTGTGAACCTACTAGAAAACAGATTTCTCCCCGTACTGTAAATTCAGACACCCCCCCACGCCACCCCCGCTCTTCTGGTAAATAGATTTTTAGTTGCCTGAGAAACATGCACTTCTAAAATTATTTCGGACTTTACAGTACCTTTATATATATATATATATATATATATATATATTAATGCTACAGGTAGTTTTATGTAATTTGGGGAGCCTGCTGTTCCACTGAATTATTGGAAATTGTGTCCCTTTGGTTTTTCGACGCTACAAATGAGTACCGCGGGCTTTAAGAAGCTGTTTGTTGAATTGAGTTAGACACAGCCTTCATTGAAACCAGGAAATAAGGAGCCACTAAGAAATGCTTAGGGGAAATATTTCTCCTGGAAAGCCTAAGATTAGAAGGCTCAGGTTAGTTTTAACTGCTGATAAACTTCATTTTAGGAATATTTCCTTCTCTGTGTGAGAAACTTGGACTCTGCAGCAAAATCTGACCAATCAAGTGCCTCGACACCATTTTCTTTCCTCTGTTTTTCTCACTTTCAGCCATTTTCTGCTTCTGAACCTCGGAGGGTTAAAAGGGAGGGGGGAAGGCATCGGGAGTAGTGCTTTAGGAATTAAGAAATCTCTGCTGTGATTTATTCATCCCCCCAGATTTGGTCATTGACGTACGACTTGTGTTTTTCCGCACAGATTTTTTAATTCCTGTGGATTACCACTGGGACTGCAGAAATGAGATGTAGCGAAAGCTGACTCGTTTCATTTTACTGAGATGGCTGAAGATATGTTTACCTGGACTTGCTTGCATATGCTTATAATTAAAAAAAATTATTAAATCAAGTAAATTAGCTTTTTCTAACAGTTTATTTAGAAGATACTTAATATCTTATAGAAGCCATTGGTCGTAGTTACATTTCAGCAAAATGTAGCATCAGAAATGATGGGGGTTTTGGTTTTTTGTTGTTTTTTGGTTTTTGGGGGGTTTTTTGCATGCTCAAGAAACAAATTATATCTGAGCAGTGAGACAGGGAGACAGGTTTTATTTGCTTTCATCTCTTGTCACTTTTCCTCTAAAGTCTTTTGAAGACCTCATACTGTTTTACTAAATTAAGTATTATTTGGATTCATTCTGAGTGAGTTGCATGCTCTAATAGCAAAAAAAAAAAAAAACACTTAACACTTCATCAGCTGAGAAAGAAAGATGTGCAGTGCTTTTTATTTTCTCAGGGTTCATATAAACTCTAAATTATAATGCCTGAGTCTGAAGCAGTTTTGGGGTGTAATATACAGCAAATGGGTGGCACATAGACACAGGTGACGTAGTGCAAGATTCCCTAAGTCCAAGAGAGAATCAAAGTGGAGGATCCTCTGGTGCCAGCAAGGTTCAGCTGAATTTCTTTTCTTTTTGCAGGGAAGCCTGAAATAAAAGAATGCTGCCAAGACAAAGCTGGTTGTGAGCAAGACCTCCGTGCTGAGCAGCTGAGGATTGGCTTGAGAGCTGCTGTTGGTAATCAAGGTGCTTTTGCAGGTGATTTTAGATGCTCAGCATGGTATTTGGCTAGGACTGTTCCTGGCCCTTTAGCCATCCTCCATGGATGAACTGGCTCAAATCAAAATCGTGGCCTGGAAGAATGTTCTTATCAGTCCAATGGGTAAAACAGAGCACAGCTACTGACATTCAGCTGAAATACCTCATTTCATCCAAATACATTAAAGGTCTGATGACAGCATCTTTCTAGGACAAAAAATATTTGAATCAGTCCTACTTGACAGCTATTAGTTTCTGAAAAATTCTGAGCAGATACATATCCATATGAAAGCAAGCTTCTCATTTGAATTAACTACTGTTGTGTAAGTATTTTGTGAAGATGGATTCCATGCAAGGCAGTATGCAAAGATAGGTTGTAAACATGTTTTCATCTGCATGTCCCTTTTGTGGGCTTCCTCACAATGTGAATCACCTGTTGATTCCTCCAAAGTGAAGTTTGAACTCGGCCAAGCACAGCTCTCCTACAGTTCTCTCTGGCCAGTTCTGCCCTGCTGCACCATTGCCTCTCTCTTCTCTCCCACTTTCAGCTCACATTCTATCCCAAGTATCAGATGGTAGAATTGCAAACAACATTGTCACAACACTGTGAACATTTATTAAAATTTTACATTCTATGTTAGAAAGTACTTTGTCTGTCAGTCACTCCTCTTATGGAATTAATTACACTGGCCACAACAACAGGGTCTGCCCCTGGGATCCTGCTGATTACTGCACTTGTCCAAGGTTTCCAGCTTGTCTTTCATTAGTTCTCAGGTTACAGCTTGAGTTAGGTGGATCTGTAGAGTGAACATTACACCAAAAATTAACCTTCAATCCCACACAGGCCACCCAGCACTCAATTCCCAAGCCCACCAGTTGCTTCTGGTCAGTTTGTTTTGTTTGGTTGGGGTTTGTCATTTTTGTTTTTCATCTGACATTACCTCAATTCTTTTAGTTGTTTCCTTGGTCCTTCCTTACCTTTTTTATTCTGCTTTGGGCTAGTTGTACATTAGCAGCATTAGCTTTTAACGAAACCTTTCATTTTGGTCAGCTCTTGTGGCCTGATGCTACAACCACTCCAGCCACTAATGCTAAACTACTTAATACATCATGAGACTATGCGGAATACAGTTAATGAAAATTTCCTGTAAACGACTATGAAGTAGCACAAGATGGAAAGCTCTGTTCTCAGTGAAGCTGTTAAGGCAATACCAGGGTTTAGTAATAAAAAGACAACAAACTAAAGGAACATTAATATACAAAACCAATGCAAACTGAGTTTGAATTAAACCTGTTTGTACATAAAACAGTGTAAGCCCATCTGGCTGGGGGCCTCAGCGCCAGTCTGTGATGACTGAAAGGGATCAGAGAAACAAATCGTGCAGCTCCAGGGACACTGGGGTGGCAAAAGGCATGCCCCAACCTTGCTCACTCCATACTGTTGTCATCTGTGCCACCCATGGCGCCCTGCATCTCGGTCTAAAGGTGCTTTTAGGTTTGGCTTCAGGTTCAAAGAGCCACAAAGTCTAGAGCTCCAGAGGCACTGGTGCCACCAAAGACATGCCAAGGTGAGTATGGCACAGCCCCAGCTCTGCTTTCTCCACACCTTTCTCTTCCAGGCCACCCACGGTGCTGGGCACTTCAGCCTCAGCCCAAGCCTGCTCTCAGGGTAAGGTGTGAGCATGACAAAACCCACACCTACAGGGACACTGGGGTGGCAAAGGACATGTTAAGGGCAGCATGGCCCTGCTCCAACTCTGCTCCCTCCTCACCTCTCTCATCTGAGTCACCTGTGGTGCTTTATCCCGTTTATCCCGTGCATTGACAGTGTTCAGCTCCATGTCTGGTTCCCCATCCATCACGTTCTGTTGCCCTTAAGCACTGCGAGATTTTAGTCCATTAACATGAAGATGCTTTTTTAATGGGCTTGATGACTTTGGCTTTACACATCTGCCAAGTCTGTACTCTGCTGTGCTGTCAGCTGTTCTCATGTGAAGGTTAAATGTAGTTAAGCTATTAAAAAATCTGATTATATATCCTCTGTGTCCTTATTGCTTTTCTCTCTACACTTTATTCTTGCTCATCCCTCCCTATTTCTGAAGATCTAATGCCATGAGCATTTGATGTATTTTTGAGTATGCCCTTTCTCTCTGCATATGGATTTTTATTTATTATGCTATTCCAAGCACAGCACTGATCCATCAGGATGGATCTGTAAAGCTATACCAAATTTTGACCTGTAAGAGCTTCAGCTTGTGATGCCATCAGTAGGAAAGTAATTGATCTAGAGGGCACATGATGTAGTTTTCTGTAAGTGTTCCATATGGGGTTTAGGACAGTATGCCAGTGTTGTAATGAACATAAGGATCTAGAGCCAAAGGCATGGTGTGAGAGGCACGACAGAAAAAAAAAAAAAAAAAAAGGAAAGCACACACAAAAAACCAGAAAACACATAAACAAAACAGTGTTTCTGAGACACAGCTTTTCAGGAACAGTCAAATGTACATCTCTGTGTGTTTTAGATGCCAATTCAGTGTGCTGAGGTCTGAGCGTTTCCTGAATTAATTCCAACTACTGATAATGTATGGAAAACAGGTAAGGTCTCCACTGCACCAATGCAATGATAAGTAGCACTTCAGAATTTCTGAATGCTTTGCTGCAGTCAACTAGCTCTGTCAAAAGCCTTGTCACACTGAGATCGAAGGACTTCTAAGCAACAAACAGGGCCAGCTGCAATTCCAGTTAGTTATGTTGTGGAATAGAACATTAAGGAAGTTTATCTTCCCCCTCCTTTTTCCTAAATGAATGATGCTGTTTGTTGCTGAAATTGAATGTTATTTTCCTTATTTGGGCCAGTTTGGTCTTCTTATCAGTTGTCCCAGGCAGACTCATCTGACAGGTTGTTGTTTTTTTGTTTTTAGGAAAAAAAGAACATGTTTGGAAAAAATTAAGGTCACTACATGGATATGGACTAGTTCACTTCCAGGAGAGATGCATTTAAGAGTCTAAGAGTGGTAAATATTCAGACACCAAATAAAAATTGAGGGGTTGCCAACATTTGTCACTCTCCGGCTCCTTTGGTATTCTCAGTGTAGGCCAATATTTACACAGAAATGTTTCCAGAACAAAAGTGTCACCTCTCCTCTGCATCCCAAAACTTGAAAACTGTAACAGAGTCTGCAGCATTTCCAGGCCAGTCCTTGCTGTTTTGCTGGTTGTTTAGGCAGGTGCATGCAGAGTTTGAGTTCACCTCCCAGCAGCAGCACGAGTGCAGCCTGCACAGAAATAAAAAGAAAAGCCAGTTCAATACTGATTACACGATGTGAGGACTGATTTACAATTGTGTGTGTGTATGCATGTGTACATGCAGTCATTATATGTTTCCAAAGATCTGTAACTGGGATCTTTACATGGGAAGAATAGGAATTTCTTAACATCCTTATAAAATTCACCTAGTTTAAAGGCCCTGAAATGCGTGGCTGTAAGTCTACATTTCAGAGGTATTTCATAATACACAGTATTTTGCAAGCAGCTGTATATGTTTTATTTCAAAAACACTTTCAAGTAATAAAACTTTTTATCCTCATGAGTATAGGGGATGGGGTTGATTTGTTGTTTGTTCTGTTTTTTACACATTATAAATAATGCTTGAGTTGCTTTTTATCTTCAACTGAACTAAAAGAACAGTATGAAGTTCACACTAATTCACCCAAGTGTCCCAGGATGGATTCAGAAGTCAAGTGACAGGAGAGACAGCCTCACCCACCCATCCTTGGAAATGTAGAGCAGAGCTCCCAGAGCCTCCCTGGGACCCACCCTGAGCCTCCACCAGGTATTTGCTGTTGCAGGAGGGATGGTATCCTACTCCTCCTTCCCTTGGATGTCTTCCCACAACTCTTTCACTTCTCCATCAGTGACGATGTCTTTATTTAACACGATGGGTTTGGGGCTGGAGTTGCTAATTGCTTTTGCTTTTTAAGAGTACCAGGCTGATGTGGCTGGAGGGTGTGCCACACGTGCTGATGGATGGATCACTGCCCTGTAGAAGGCTCCAGCTGAAAAGCAGGAATTAAATAAAATAGAAGGTTGGCTAGTGGTGCCCATCAGAAGGTGACAAACCAGGAAAGCCAAGAGGGCCTCTGTTAGGGAAGAATGAAAATCAAATGCACTGTGATACATCCCTAAATGCTGGAGTCACAATTCCAAACCAGGCAGTTGCCTGAGTTATAGAACAGATTCTATCAGTAAGTTTGCAGTTTCATAAGAGAAGGCTGAAGAGTTTTGAACAAAGTTGTCTGCTGCAGAGGGAAATAGGAAAAGAGCTGAAAGACAACCACAGATATTAAAACAAGCAAGCAAACAAACAAATGAACCCCAGAAAACCAACCAAACCCAGAATTGTTTCATTATGAGCCTGTGTTTGGAAAAAGTAATTTAGATAAATCTATCTTATAAAAAGACAGCAAATTCCTTTTTGAACATGTGTCTACTACACGTTTGAGGGAATAAATGAGAGGAGGTAAAGAGAGAAATTTCCTACCCTAAAATGTGTGAGTTGTTAATAAGAAAGAAGGATGCTAGGGCGTGAGGATTTTGTTACAGCAGCACTTTTTTTCCTTCTCTATTTCAAAGAAGTTACAATAACTGTGCCAGTGAAAATGTTTTATAATGCTAAGAGTTCTCAGAATATGAAGACTAAATGCAAATTAAAAGAGAAATTACACCAAAACAAAATCCCTAAAAGGTTCTTTGGGAAATTCTTATTTTCACACTTCTTGAAGACTTATTTATTTCTATGTCCATTTTCCTCTATTAATTGTAAAGATTATTTATTATTACCCAAAATCAATAGAAATTTCTGAAAATTTTTTGCTGTTAAAATTAAAAAAGGAAAATGCCAAGTGGCCCCAAATGTTTTTTAGTTGTGAACATTATTTTGATCTTAATATACATTCATTTAATAGTATTTGTGTCAGGAAAAATTTATTAGTTTATGTAATTGTGCCTTAATCCAGGAAACTTAGTAGTACTAGAACATTGATCTGTATTTTAGTGTTGGCTGTAAAAACATGAGTAACATTCCTATTTTAAATGGCACATGTTTAGCAAGGGGATAACCCAAACATTAACATGAGAAACTCGAAATAGTCTTTACTTTCCATTACTGTGCAGAACAAGAACAGGTCTCCTACTTCCCGAGTAGGAAGCATTCCCAGAAAATCTTGTTGCAAGCAGTGGCTTCTTCCTTACGGTCTATTCTTTTAGAATTCCTTATGCTCTCAGCTTTCCTAGAAATGGTCAAAAATACGCTGGATAGGTAAAGGTATGACGGACAAGATGAACATGCCAGCACACGTGTGCGCTTGTGTTTGTAGGGAAACAAAAAACAAAGCCCAGTAACACAAACACAGGCCACAGAACTGTTCACGCTTTAATCCTCACTAAGGAAATTCGACATTACATTAAAAAAAAAAAAAAAAAGACAAAAAAAAGGAAAAAAGTAAAAGCCTTCGACATGACACGGCTTGAGAGTTTCCTTCCTCTCCTATTTTAAACAGAGAGAACTTAGTAACTGAAGGAAGCTGTAGGGCGCAGAGGACAAGGTTGGCAGAGATTATATAAATCCTGCCGAGGAAGGTGTCTATGCAGGCAAGTGCTAATAGCCAGAACATTAAAAAGGAACCCTTGAAGCGTCCAAAGCAGAAGCGGGGTGAGCGGGCAGAGAGCAGCGGAGAGGCGGGGCGGGAGCGCAAGGCGAGGGCCCGCATTGGTAGGATTTTGCCGCAGACCCGCGGGCAGCGGGGAAGGAAGGTGAAGGGGGCGCCGGCAGAGGGTGCCGCAACGCCCGCGCCTGCTCCTGGCGGAGACCCGGAGCTCCGGGAGCGGCGGCGGGAGGCGAGAGCGCCGGGGGGCGCGGGCCCGCTCGGGACAGGCGGGGACAGGAGCGGGAGAGCGCCTGCGCCGCGTCTCGCGGGAAGCGCCAGCGGGGCCGCGCGGGGAGGGGAGGGCGGGCAGGAGACCCCGCCTCTTTTTGCAGTCCTCAACCAGGTCGGCTCCCGGGCAATAAAGGGATGCTAAGGGCGGATGGCGGTGTGTAGTGGGTTGGTGTCGGGACTGAGTCATGTCTGGTCGGGGCAAGGGCGGCAAGGGGCTCGGCAAGGGCGGCGCCAAGCGGCACCGCAAGGTGCTGCGCGACAACATCCAGGGCATCACCAAGCCGGCCATCCGCCGCCTGGCTCGGCGCGGCGGCGTCAAGCGCATCTCGGGGCTCATCTACGAGGAGACGCGCGGCGTGCTGAAGGTGTTCCTGGAGAACGTCATCCGCGACGCCGTCACCTACACGGAGCACGCCAAGAGGAAGACGGTCACGGCCATGGACGTGGTCTACGCCCTCAAGCGCCAGGGTCGCACCCTCTACGGCTTCGGCGGCTAAACTCAGTTCTTGTTATCCTTCAGCGCTTCTACAGCAAAAGGCTCTTTTAAGAGCCACACACAGATCTCACAAATAGAGCTTGTAATTACTTAAGTCAATAACACAAGGGAAGAGAACCCTGAAAAGTTACGTATTGGCATATTACCTATACCGTATTAGTCCCTGGATTCGCATTATGTAATACCCATTAAAAAAAAAATCAAAAAACCCACGTACTTGCAATCACAGCTCTTATTAGGAACGTGTGGTGGCTCTTAAAAGAGCCGTTTGGTTTGTTATTGACTATCCTTTTACTTGGAGCTGGTGTACTTGGTGACAGCCTTGGTGCCCTCGGACACGGCGTGCTTGGCCAGCTCGCCGGGCAGCAGCAGGCGCACGGCCGTCTGGATCTCCCGCGACGTGATGGTGGAGCGCTTGTTGTAGTGCGCCAGGCGCGACGCCTCGCCCGCGATGCGCTCGAAGATGTCGTTGACGAACGAGTTCATGATGCTCATGGCTTTAGACGAGATGCCCGTGTCGGGGTGCACCTGCTTCAGCACCTTGTACACGTAGATCGAGTAGCTCTCTTTCCTTGCCCTCTTGCGCTTCTTGTCGCCCTTCTTCTGCGTCTTGGTCACCGCCTTCTTCGAGCCCTTCTTCGGTGCTGGAGCAGATTTCGCCGGCTCAGGCATCCTTAATGTTTTCTTTCAGGATCTTCACTGTACCACAACAACCTCGAAAATGGCGCCTGCGCCCCCTATTTATAACGGCGTTATGCAAATGAGAGGATTGTAATTGTTCCATTCCTATTGGAGTAGAAAGTACCAACGTAATTTCAGGCACTTCCGTCCTGTAACCGCCAGAGCTCAGGCGCTGCATTTGCACAATCCTAGCTGCAGTTAGCCTGCTGGATTTAAAAACAAAAATTCACTAACAAAATAGCGCGTGACACAAACTGCGCTGGGTGGACATTCACCAGTGCATCCACCATTAATGATCTTAGCCCTATGGAAACTCGCTGTCTAGTGCATTCTTACCCTTTTTAATTTTTTACATTTTCTAATAACCCCAACAACGCGGATATACGCATCAGTAATAATCAGCTCTTATAGTGAGATTTGTAGGTGGCTCTTAAAAGAGCCTTGGTGTTTTAGACAGTATGAATCTGAACTACTTTAAGTTTAGCCGCCGAAGCCGTAGAGGGTGCGACCCTGGCGCTTGAGGGCGTAGACCACGTCCATGGCCGTGACCGTCTCCCGGAGGCCGAACCCGGCCGGGCCCGGAGCGGATCCCGGCCCGGCTCACCCCGTGCCCGCCCGCGGGGCTCTCGGTGCCGCTAGGGAGCGGGGCCCCGCCGGCTGCAGCAAAGCCCGGCCCATGGCGGCGAGCTGTGCCCCGACAAAGGGCCCGGCCGGGCGGGGAAAGTGTGGGCGCCGCGGTCCCGCTTCTACGGTAAATGAACCCTTTTCTACCGAGAGCTCAGAAACGGGAGTAATGTGCTAGTCTTTGGTTTGTTTGTTTTATTCCCTGTGAGGGCGACACTTTACATTTTCACCCTGGGGGAGTTCTTTTGTGTGTCTCATGTCCTAGACTCAGTGATCACACATCTTTATTTTGTATGGGACTGATGTGTTGATGAAGGAGCTGATTTCTGTCTCTTGGTGCTAATACCTAAGACAAAAACCTACACCACTTCATGTGCTTTTAAAAAGTATCATGCGTTCAGTAATTTTCATGGTGCCACTCTTTACTGATAGCTATCCAACTATTCCTTTCAATGTTTTGGTTTTTTTCCATTTAGTATTACTCTTTGAACACAAACCAGTATTTTTTATTTACTGCTGTTCTACAGCTGTATTCATTTTAATGAGTCCCATCATCTTAATCACCTTTAGTAGTTTTCAGTGTCCATATGTTTGGTTTTTTGGGTTTTTTTTGTTTTTTTTTTTTTTGAAAATGCATGGTTGAATTTCTCCCCTTCTTTATTCTTTTCTTCCACCTTGGCCATTTTTAGTACACTTCTTTTTTTGCTGTTGAAATGTGATACATATATTTAATGTTTCTCCAGGGATTTATAGGGCCTTCAGATGATAACATCACTCAGCAATTTACAAAACTAGAAAGCTTGCAGCTACAGGCAACAATGTATGGAGCAAATCATACAACTTTGCCTGAATTTTCAGTCTCAACAACTAAAAGATCTACAGTAGCTACCCACAGCCTTGCAACCCAGCTTCTCAAATGTGATTCTAAGCTTCATCATGCACTTTTAAAATTTTCCCAAATAATCCCAACCACAGACAGGTGTATCTCATCATCAGTAATTTTCCCTATTGCTATGTTCTGTCTCCTCTTGATGGCCAAGTTGTTCTTTACCTTTTCCTGGGACCTCTTGGTTCTTTTCTCTGTGTTCCGCATAGAAAATTGCACCAAACTAAACTGAAGTTTTGTTCAGAAATGAATCTAAATCTCCAACAAATATCCCTGTTCTGGATGAGAGGCAGCAAGGCTGTGGAGAGAGGGCAGGGATTAAAACAGAGCAGCTGGACAACCAAGGTAGCATTAAGCTGCTCTTTTCCACACTGCTTTCTCCTCCAGAGTTCAGGAGAAATGCAACAGCACAAGCACTGTCAAGCACGCCTTTCTCACTGGGAAGGAAAAATATCCCAAATATTTCTTTTTCTGCTTCCCTTCAGACATTTTGCATACAGACTGGAGATCACTGTGGATCTGTGCTTCTGCTCAGCAAGGTGAAAAGGAAAAAAGAGCAGAAGCAAGCCCAGCTTGCTAAGATCTCTTTCTTCTTTCTTCACTTGTTCCAGATAGGTGGCATGAGCATACACAAGAAACCTTCCTCCTCTGATACCAGGTAAATCCAGTCTTAAATCCCTCATTTTCTGTTCAGATTAAAGAGAAAACCCTTTAAAGAATATTAATTACTTTGGAAATCTAGTTCCCCACATTGTGGATTTTATTTAGAAGGAAAAACAAGTTTCTGTCTTCTGACTTCTGTATAGTCCTTAAGGTTTCCAAAAGGAAATAACATCACGTTTTCCTCTTGCCCAATGAAGTCATATTAACAAGAAAACAGGTTTATTTTCTGGTTTGTGATAATTTCAAACTGCAGAATAAAATCCACATCTAATTTTTAGGGTTATCATGGTTTTGACTTAAACATATTCTTCCAATATTTATTCCATCTGAGAAGAAATCAAATCATTTCATGTTACAAATTAAATCACATCTTCCATCTCATTTAAATTGATGAAAAAGAAACCACACTCGGTGGGCCAAAAGGATTAGTTCTAAACACTATTAGCAGTGTTTGTATTCTAGTCTCCATATCTTTCCTGGTTACATCTTTTTCCTTTTACATTATCTTGTGGTTGTTACAAACGCAGACTCTTCTATGAAGCATGTGGGTATGCTCCTTCTTCTAGGGAAAAAAAAAAAAAAAAAAGAGACAGAGAGAGTAGCAGAAGGCCTCACAAGAGCAGAAGGCCTGTTAGTTTCTGCTCTTGGTTTTGTTTTTTCCTTAGAAATGCCCTTAACTGGGTTTTGCTGCCGCGGTGACCCCGCGCCGGGAGAGGCGGCGCCGCCGCGGAGCTCCAGCAGCCAAGGCTGGGATTGAAAGAGCTCATTCTGATTGGCTGACAGCATTCTCATCATCCACCAATCCTAGCGTGGTGTTTAAAAACCACCAATAGCAGAGCACTCCGTTCTGCTGGTGACGTCAGTGCGCCAGTTGTCCAATGGAAGCGCTGACTTCTGATACCGGAGATTTGCATAAGGGCCCTATAAATAGGGGAGTAATCGCATTATCCGTCACTCCGCTGTGACCGAGCAGGTACGGAGCTGCAGCCATGCCCGAGCCGGCCAAGTCCGCCCCCGCGCCCAAGAAGGGCTCGAAGAAGGCGGTGACCAAGACGCAGAAGAAGGGCGACAAGAAGCGCAAGAAGAGCCGCAAGGAGAGCTACTCGATCTACGTGTACAAGGTGCTGAAGCAGGTGCACCCCGACACGGGCATCTCGTCCAAGGCCATGGGCATCATGAACTCGTTCGTCAACGACATCTTCGAGCGCATCGCGGGCGAGGCGTCGCGCCTGGCGCACTACAACAAGCGCTCCACCATCACGTCGCGGGAGATCCAGACGGCCGTGCGCCTGCTGCTGCCCGGGGAGCTGGCCAAGCACGCGGTCTCAGAGGGCACCAAGGCTGTCACCAAGTACACCAGCTCCAAGTAGGGCGTCTCGGACCGTCGTTTTTAACCCAAAGGCTCTTTTAAGAGCCACCAATTATTTCAATAAAAGAGCTGAATCAGTGGTTTTGGTGGGGAGGTATGTAAATAGCTTTAGCATTTGCACGTTAATTATTAGATCATGTGGTGCTCTTTAGCAAATCTTTAAGTGTACATAAGAAATTTTCTATACGTTTACCTTGTCTGTGCGCGGGATATAAACTTGGTCAAAACCTCTAATCCGGTTCCTTCTCAAAAGGGACTTGAAAGCAGCAATAGCTTGTCTAATTCAAAGTCCCACGGAGAAGGTGAAACAGTTTAAATTTTCTAAGGGTTAAATGCTTTTTACTCGAAACATGAAGCATTTGCTTTCAGCGCACTGCAGCAGTAAAATAAAAAAGGTTTTTTCTGTCTTGGCGGTTTAATTCTGAGGCGGGTTTCTCAACGAAGGGGTTTCGGGCTTAAAGCACCACTGGCCCCGAGTTACGCAGCAGACAATGCCGGGAAAAGGGGGCGATCCGTGACTCACCGCAAGCGTTGTGCGAGCCGGGCGCAGCCCTGCCTGCCCCCCTGCAGCCGCCGGGCAGCGCCGCGGCACGGCCCGCACGTTCCCGCGGCCCTGCTGCGCTCCGCTCCCGCTTCCCAGCCCCCCCGGCTCGGGGCCGTGGACGGGAGGGAGGGATGGATGGATGGATGGATGGAGGCTGGGCTGGCGGGGCGCTGCCGTCAGGGGGGGTCGGGCCGCGGGGCGGGAGGCGGCGCGGCGCCAATGGCGGCCCGGCGCGGCACTTTCGAACGGCCCCGGGCACCGGAGCCAAGGGCGCTCGGCGGGCCCCGGCGCCGCCTCTCGTGCTCCGCTCAATGCACAGGGGCGGGGCGGCACAGCTGCTATCGCAGGGCTCCCAAACCGCACGGAGGGACAGACTTCCCTTTAAAGGAAGCCCCAATCTCCCACGCAGGCGTTGCCCAACGTACTCGTGCCCAAAATCTGAACTTTATTAACGCCATGTAAACTCCCACCAAAATCTGTGATTTGGGCTTGCTGGTGTATGACCGTAGTGTTTCAGCTCTTTTTGAGAGTAAGTGGGTGGCTCTTAAAAGAGCCTTTGGGTTTATTTAGATGAGTAGACTCTCAATTTCTCTCATTCAGCTCTACTTCTTTTTGGGAGCCGCCTTCTTCGCCTTGGCCGCTTTGGGTTTGGCCGCCTTGGGCTTGGCCGCTTTGGGCTTCACCGCCTTCGCCTTGGCCGGGCTCTTCGCTGCCTTCTTGGGGCGCCCAGCCTTTGCGGCTTTCTTGGGGCTCTTGGCCGCTTTCTTGGCCGCTGCAGCCGCCGGCTTCTTGGCTTTCTTGGGGCTCTTCTTCACCGCCGCCGCTTTCTTGGGCTTCTTGGCAGCGCTGGCGGGTTTCTTCGCCGCCGGCTTCTTGGGCTTGGCAGCCGGCTTCTTCTTAGTCGCTTTTTCTTTTGTCTCGCCCGGCTTCTTGTTCAGCTTGAAAGAGCCGGAGGCGCCGGTGCCCTTGGTCTGCACCAGGGTGCCCTTGCTGACGAGGCTCTTGAGCCCCAGCTTGATGCGGCTGTTGTTCTTCTCCACATCGTAGCCGCCGGCGGCCAGCGCCTTCTTGAGCGCGGCGAGCGAGAGCCCCTTGCGCTCCTTGGAGGCGGACACGGCCTTGGTGATCAGCTCGGTGACGCTGGGCCCCGCGGGCTTGCGGGCTTTGGAGCCGCTCGCCGCCTTCTTCGGCTTCTTGGCGGCGGCCTTGGCGCCGGGCGCGGAGACGGCGGGAGCGGCTACGGGCGCGGTCTCGGACATGGTGCGGCAGCAGCGACAGCACTAGGCCTGGAGCAGGCCGGCCGCCTCCTATTTATAGAGCGGAGCCGCGCGCTGATTGGTGCGCTGCAGAGCCCGCCCCTCCGCTCGGCACAGGGCGCCCTGCTCGCCGCTCATTTTGTGTTTCTTAGCGGCCGAAAACGGCTGTTTTTGTCAGAATTTCCGCCACCGACACCCCCCAGTTCGCAGCGGCGTAGAGAAGAGAGACTCTTGTTGCCCTCGGCCAAGTTTCCTTTCGAAGAGGCAACGGATGAGCTAAAAAAGAGGCGATAAACGCTGAGTCCTGGACCTGAACAGACCTCGGGAGACAGAAACTTTTGTTTTTCCTTCTAAATAAAATCCACGATGTGGGGAACTGGATTTCCAAAGCAATTAATTCATATTCTTTAAAGGGTCTTCTCTTAATCTGAACTGAAAATGAGGGATTTAAATTGATATTTTAGTCGCAATTTGATTTCAAAGAGGAGTAAGTAACACAGGCTCATCCTGAGCACTGAATATGGATTAGAAATTAGCTCCTTTGTCCAGAATCATTTACCTCTTTCAAAATAATTAAGAGAAGTTAAATTAGTGCATTATGCAGCAAGGCAAGGAGCAGGTTAAAGCCCCGTGAAGGGCTTTTTGTCCCACCAAAGGAGGTGGCTTTTTGCAGCGCAGCAGTTTGTGCTGTGCTGCTCAGCGTACACAATGCAGACATGGTTCCCTCCTCCTCTAGCTACAGAAACACTCAGCTTTCTTAATAAATTAGGCGACATAAAAACTTAACACGGCCAATTTTTGTTAATAATGATAACCAGTGCCCTATCATTTCATGATGTGTCAGTGATTTTATTTTAATACAGCTGGATTGGCAAAAATCTGAGTCATCGTTTGAGACACTGCTGAGGCTGATTTTCCCACTACTTGAACATAATAAAACTTGCTCAAGTGATGAGTTAGGATTCCTCTTTCACAGCAATTTCCTAAATATTCCATTTTCTTACTGTCCAGTGACTGACTCCTCCACTGGAGTTAATACTAAAAATGGCATGTCTTGATCTACTGCTACACTGAAACAGCTGGCTGCTAAGCAAGAGCAGGGACAGTCCTCAGAAGCACTTTTCCAAGACCAAGCTTCAATTAAAAATAAATGCACATTGTTTTTCAGAGCAGAAAGCATTAAAAGAAGTATTCTCTGATATGTTTATTAATGCCTACAACCTATTGTTTTGACAAAGGCCTGTAAACTCCTTTTTGCCTCTTGATATTGTAACTGCTGGTGATACTAAAATTCTGGACAATGTTATGATTCAAGTAATTGATGCTTTCAAATGGATAATTATTAGAATATGGTTTTTGACCTATAATAGCAAATTTTCCGTTTCTTTTTCAACATATTTACGGTTTATATTTATCACTGTGTATAAGAGAGAATCAGAACTGGCAACAGTCCTTTGCACCTCACATTGCCTGTGCGTTGTGATGAACAATTATTCTCAAACTCCTTCAGATTTGGGGCAGAAAATGGGCTCAGCAGCTCAAAGATTTTTAATGAGATGTAGGGATTAGTAACTCAGAATGCCTTTTAATGCAAAACAACAACAACGAAAAAACCAAACCAAAACAAAAAATTTCTGACAGTGTTTGTAGGCCTAAAAGTTGTTTACAGGGGTAGGGCTGTTTTTAAAGACATCAGAGAATTACCTGAACTTCACACAAGGCCCGGCTGAAAAAGGAGAGGCATGATGGGGCTGGGGTTCTTTCCTGCAATCCTAACAAGCTTTCTAACCCCCATCAGCACAAGATGATTTATTTTACTACAGAATAAATTTTTCAAAGTTTTGATCTTAGTTTAAGAGCTAAGATACAAAGTGTTCGGGGTGGTTTGGGTTTGGATTTTTTCCAAGAGCCAAAATTGTGAAGGATTTGGGGTGTTTAAGGGGAGATTGGTCCGTTTTGTTTGTTTAGAGCTAAGATACAAAGTGTTCGGGGTGGTTTGGGTTTGGATTTTTTCCAAGAGCCAAAATTGTGAAGGATTTGGGGTGTTTAAGGGGAGATTGGTCCGTTTTGTTTTAGATTTTTTGAGGCGATTGGGGGGGGAGGGGGGAGGAAGAGGGAAGGTGTGTTTAGTTTGCTTTTTCGCTAGGATGTACAGCTCCTTTTATGAGGAAGTGGGTGGCTCTGAAAAGAGCCTTTGGGTTACTTTTGAGGTCGGAAACGCTCCTCGGATTTGTTTCACTTGCTTTTCGCCTTGTGGCTGTCGGTCTTCTTGGGCAGCAGCACGGCCTGGATGTTGGGCAGCACGCCGCCCTGGGCGATGGTCACCTTGCCCAGCAGCTTGTTGAGCTCCTCGTCGTTGCGGATGGCGAGATGCAGGTGGCGGGGGATGATGCGCGTCTTCTTGTTGTCGCGGGCCGCGTTGCCCGCCAGCTCCAGGATCTCGGCCGTCAGGTACTCCAGCACGGCCGCCAGGTACACCGGCGCGCCGGCGCCCACGCGCTCCGCGTAGTTGCCCTTGCGCAGCAGCCGGTGCACGCGGCCCACGGGGAACTGCAGCCCGGCCCGCGACGAGCGCGACTTGGCCTTGGCGCGCGCCTTGCCGCCCTGCTTCCCGCGACCGGACATGGCTCCCGACGCCGCTCCCGCTGCACGAACCGACGCGGTCACGTGTCCCCGCGCCCTCCGCGCGGCCGCTTTTATAGCTCCTGCGCGCGCCCCGCTGGCTCTCTGATTGGCTGCGGCGCGCTCCGGCTCGCTCCGACCAATGGCGCCGCGGATCCAAATCCGACCAATGGGAGCCGCCGGCGGCAGCTCCCGCGGAGCCGCCCCCGCCGCGCGCTCCCAGCCCCGCCCGGCCCCAGCGCCGCGAGCGCGGCGGAGCGCGGCGGGCGCCCGGGAAGCGCGGACATCCCGCTAAATGCCAGGGCTGGCGGTTCAGAAATAATCCTGCACTTTAGACTGCAGGGCTACTTTAAAAACGTGTTGCTGTTATGATAAAAGAGAAGCTTTGCTTTCAGTGGGAGCATTTACACCCCAGCACCACTAATACGTATAGAGACTAGGCAGGAAGCCGTAATACAAGACATTTCTCTGATTCTAGAGAAAAATTACTTCAGTATTCCTGCAATCACTCATATTGGTTTTCCAGCTGAATTATCTGTCCCCAGGCCGAATCTTCTCAACTTTGGTAAAAAATGCTGATGTCATCAGCTAACTTCCACAACAGAAGTTGCTTAATAGAGAAAGGATTTCGTGTTTCAAGAATTGCCTAAAGTTACATCACACAATCTGCATGGGGTGGGCGGGCTCATGTCCATTTTACATGTTCTCGGCGTAGAGAACCGCGGTGCAAACATTTTTTATTGTGTCCCAAATTTGTGAAAACAGATTCAAAGTTTTCAAGTGTAAGTTTGGTTAGCTAATAATTTTGTCTCCTTAAAGCAAAACATGGTGCATTCAGCTAAGCCTGAAACTTACAACCAAGTAAATGCATTGTTTGAGGTATCTGATAGTCTGCTATCCTAAAATTATTAGCCACAACTAAAACTGTGTCAGTCAATCTTTTAATACTAAAATTATTTACTAATTTTCACTTAAGGCAGCCTGTCCATGGTGCACCCAGCAGGTATCTGAGGCTTGATATGAAGCAAACCTCCTAATCAGAGTGTGTAAAATAAATTGTTTCGTAATTATTAGTAGTATTTCAGAGCTTAGGTTTTTATTAGCTACCCATAAAGGTTAAAAGGGATGTTTAGGAACTTAAAAACAAGAATATAGCAAAAGCTTAGTGGGAAAAAGTAAGTATACGTTATTTACAACGTGATTATTACTTTTCTGAGGTTCTGAATGCTGTATCATCTTCCAAGGTGAGCAAAGAACCCTCCCCCCTCTCCACCTGCCTGCTAGTTTCTCACAAATCACAGGAAAAGCAGTATTTTGATACACTGAACATTTATTGTCTCTCACAAGACAAAATGAAGTTTTCCCCAGCCAACAAAAATCCATCAAGATGACCATAAAGGGGAGAGGATGCAAAACTCCAGTGTACAGTATATGCAACAAATTACCTCCCTGACTACCCTGGAAGAAAGATGATTGATCAACCTCACTGCAACTAAAAAACATGATTATAAAATATTTACAGGGGAAAAAAAATAAAAACCAAACCCAGTACAGAAAATAAAAAGCGGACAACCATTTGTGTATGAAATGCTGCTAACACTTTTCTGGCTCCTTAAAAACCTGTTCCACTACCCTCACCAGAGCACTCGGGGTGTGTAAGGATTTTGGCAGGGAATAGTCACCCCCGTCCCCAGAGTATCATTATCTCCCTCTAAGGAAGGGGGAGGACTTGAGGGGAGCATCGCCTTCTTGACTGCAATTTCCTTTCACCACGTGGCTCTGAAAGGAGGTCCCCAGGCACACCTCAGCTGCAGCGGTCTCCAGTCGCAGCACACTGGCAAGTTAACCTGCGGGTAGGGAACTATTTCCAGACATACCCTTTCGTTGCTTGCAGGAGGACTTTCCCTTCTTCTCCCTCCACAGTGATCCGATCCGTGTTCAGAGGGGCAGGAAAGCTGACTAGGACTACGACAGGTCACAGGAGACCTTCCATTTCTTTCATGAAGGCTTCATACACATCATCCTTTGTCTGTACAGAGATAGGGGCAGACGACCCAGCCTTAGGGGCAGCTTTGGTTAACGGGAGGGCGGGCTCATCCTCTTGCTTTCTCTGGGAGGCGGCGGCAGCGCCTTTGTTCTCGCGGCGCACCCGCAGGGCGGTGGGCACGAAGCGCGTGATCTCCGCCTTGGGGTTGGTGATCTGCGGCTTGGCGCTGATGGTGGCCGTGGCTTTCTTCTCGATGGTGGCCGCGCTGGTGTCATCCGCCTTGGGCCGCTGAATCAGGCTGGGGGGGGCACTCAGTACCCCGGGGTTTGGAATGGGAGCTGGTGGAAAGAGCCCAGGTGGGGCAGGTCCTAAGGGAGGCACCAGAGGTGGCCGTAACATGCCTGGGCGAGGAGGAGGGATGCCTGTAAGAAGAAAAGAAAGCGTGAGCTCTCTCCACATCTGGGAATTTCAAAATATTTGAGAAAAAAAGTGCACAGGCTCAGAATGCCAAGAACAAAAAGCAAAACAAAGCGACCCCCAACAAGATGCAGCAGCACTGGCTTAAAAAAAAAAAAAGGTTTTCAAATCTGCACGTGCTGCTCTTCAGGCTCTGAAAGCCACAGGAGCTTGTTTATTGCTCCCTTTTAAATTTTAAAGTTATAATCTGAGAATAAACTTTCTTGACAATCCATCCCACTGGAATTTCAGACCCAGGCACAAAAAATAAATATTCAGATCTCCAACTCATTTAGTGGAGCACCATTACAGCACCCAGAGGCTCTTCAGAGAGTCCAGCAGAGTAAAAGTTTAAACTCTGAAATTCCCTTTTTTCAGGGCAGATTTTTTGCTACCAAACCATGCACAGCATTTCCTTGTTATTGCACAGAATAATGTAATAGCACATGGCACAATGCAGCCACAGAGAGGAACAAAGGCAAATTGGCAGCCAATTACACCTCACTGGGTTGACCACCACAGCCAAGACTGTGAAAAGAAAGGAAGAAGGGACTTGGCACTGAAACAAACAGAACCCCTTACCTGGAGGGGCAGGAGGGGGCAGACGAGGAGGAGGACCACGTGGAGGAGGACCCGGGGGCAGGCCTGGTGGGGGGCCTGGGGGAGGACCAGGCGGTCGCCCCGGGGGAGGACCAGGTGGCAGCAGTCGAGGCAAAGGCCCACGCAACCCTGGTAATCCCGGAGGTCTCAGGAACGGAGGAGCTCCTGAGCATTCAAGTAACAAACAAGAAATTTAATTCACAGTTAAAGACATATCCCAGCAACTATCTCATCAGCTAAGGATAACGATGTATCTTCAACCTATGAGTCAAAACTGTATTACCCAGTTGCCAGATTAAATAGAGTTTCTAAAATTCTCAAGCAGTAGCAGCAGTTACACAGTTAAAGCATCTTTATGAAAGTAAAGTGTATCATGGAAAAAGGGTTCCTCCCCATTTAATTAAGCTGTAACTGGTAACAGCTTCTGAGCTGAGTTTGTCAGAATTTAAACAGCTAAGAACCTTTTTCTGTGGCATTTGATTTTTCTTCTGGCCTAAAAATAACTACATTTGGTCTTTTACTCTGCTTCATAAACTGGCTCTGCTGCTGTCTGCCAGTGCTGGCTCTAACAAAGACAACCATCAGGAATGCTACAGGAGCCTGAAGCCTCAAAAGCAAGGTACAGACACGATGACGCAGGCTGATGACAGACAGGTCTCAGTAAGTGAGTACATATACTGCATTCTGCAGCTTCCAAACTCCCACACTGATACCACTGCCTGAGAGCCTGCATCCCTCAAAGCAGGGTAAATCAAGAACTCACCTGGTGGAGGGCCAGGAGGAAGGCCGGTGGGTGGGCCTGGGGGCCTCAGTGGAGGGGCTGGAGGTGGTCCCAGAGGAGGAGGCCCAGGCATGGGAGGTGCCTGTATCTGAGCTGGCGGCACAGCCTGCGCACCCTGCTGCTGCTGCTGCGCCTGGGAAGTCGCAGTAGACGACCCGCTCTCTGCAAGTGCCTCCTCACTGAGCTGCTGCTGCTGCTGTTGCTGTGATGTCTCTTCAGACTCTGAGTCCTCTTCCTCCTCCTCCTCTTCTTCTGAATATTCCTCCACTTCTCTCCCTTCTTCTGGAATTTCCTGGCCTGGATATGGAGATGATACCCTTAGAAAATCTGTCTGTGTTTAACATCTTTGTGAACATAAGAGAAAACTGAGTACATAGCATTAAATAAAAAGAAGCAAGAGAAAGATAAACCTTACTTCAAAGGGAAGAAATCTGACCACTTTTTACTGTTAAACATAAAATGAAAACAAAAATAACAACAGAAAAATCATTGCTGCTCTAGAGAGCTCTGACAAAAAGAGTTGTGTGTTCCTCTGTGATCTGAAACTTGTACTACCAGCCCAAACTTCTGCTATTTAATCTCTGCCTTAAAGGAGTTTGTGGGGAGGCGAGGTAACAGGGGGTTGGGGACACAATGCCACCATAAACGAAATCCCCATGTTCAAGAAACTCCTGCACCTTTGAAAGATACTGGAAAGATACTTTTTAAAACAAACAGAGTTTGTTCTACCGGTTAATTTATCTCAGCAGAAGGGTATTTTTAGGGAGTAGAAATCCTTACATGTTACATGCTGAGCAAAAAGATAATGTTACCCTTTCTCTTTCACCAAAAGATTTGTATTTCATTTGAACAACTGTTTAAAAGTTAAGCAAGAAAAGGTTTAGAAGAAAAAAACAGTAAATTGCTACTCTTAACTTCAACTCAGCTATGCAAAACACACACATTACTTAAAAATAAATTTAAAAAAAACCCTACAAAACAAAAAAAAACCAAACAAACAAAAGAAAAAAAGAGCAAAAACCAACTAAAACTCAAATACCTAACAAGAGCTGATACTCTCAGCAGAGCCTACATTATGACAGTAAAATATTTACTTTATAAAATAAAACTTGTGCAAAGTAAGCTGCCCACAGAAACCTGAACTGGAAGCGCAATGGCATCTCAGCACTTATTAAATCCACCTTACTCACCTGCCATTCGTAACATCATGGCCTGGAGT